GGCAACTCTTAAAAGCCCCCATAAATAATGAAACCACCTAAATTCTCCAAAATGCAACTACCTAAATCTCTCTGCCCCAATAATAATAATACATGTATTGTTACTGGGAAGGAGACTTTCTAAAAGGCGTTGACTTTTCCACTGCCTCCGCACTGGATTCAAAAAAGCTGGGGGCAGGGATTCCAAGAGGATTTCTCTTTTTTGCTGGCCCAGGTCTGTTTCTTTTTGAAGGGACTTCTCGTTGCTGCTCGGGGTGGGGAGATCAAATAAGATGACCCAGCCTAAACCCCATGTCCTGCTGGTCTTCCACGATGAGTGGTCGGTTCTACTTAGAGTGGGGGGGAACAGCCAGTGGGCCTCGATATTTGGCCCTCCACTGCAGCCACAGCCTTTGTGGGGCTTGTGGAGGATTGGCCTGGATGCAGCAAGACCTAAGAGGCAGCACCTTTCCTACAGGATCCCATTACTAAGAGCTTGTGGCAAGCGAAACTCTGAAAGGGTAAGCAGCAAAGTTGCTGTTCGTGCGCATGGAAGCCCCATGCCTTCCTCGCACTGCCACCTCTGAATAAGAGCATGGGAAGGGGAGATAAAAGAATTACAATTCTGTGGAGTTGGCTGAGTTTTATGAAGTGTGGGAGAGAGATACAAGGCATTGCTAGGATACCCCGTGGAGTGATGCTATTTTGAAATAAGGAGCAACCTTTTCGGAAGGGGGGCACTAGAAACTCCATCCTCTTCCCAGGAGCTTTCAGATGCACAGCCAAAAGGGTATATGTTCCCTAGGAGCTGCGTGTCCAAACAGACACACAGGACCAAAACTGTCCTTTTTCCCCCTAGGTCATATTCCTCTCTGGAAAATGAGCCGGGCCTATGCTTAACCCAGAGTGGGCGGTGGGGGGAAGCGGAGGAAATTCCCTGAACTGGGTCAGTAAGAGATTCATGTGTGTGAGGCTAAAGGGTTTGTTTGTTTATTTTTAACCTCTCCCCGCATCCGAGAAGGTGCGGTTCAGTGAAAGGGAGCTTTAACGCACATACCGAGAGCAAATCGGCTGCCACACTAATCAGAATTCTCCTGTCTCCCCTTTGTCTTGGTTAGAGAAGAAAAAAGGGCAGTTTTGATATGATAATTGTAACAATTATAATCTGTCTGGTAGGATAAGCAATTTGAATGCAAGGCTTGGTGGAAGTTGAGTTCAAGCCACTGGTCAAGCAAAGGGCACTCTGTGGCCCCAGTCCCAGGCACCCTGCCTTGCAGGTAGGTGCTCCTGAGCTCCCAGAGCAAACGCAGAGAGTGTCTTGCAAGGATACGAGTTCACACGATACTCTGACCTCCTCGGACTAAAACAGGCTTTCACTTAACAGACTCAGCAACCGGACCGTGGGAAACCAGCTTTCCTGGATCTGAATCCGTATCTGAATAGACATGAACCACACTGCCGTCTTTGCTCTTCTCCTGACCCTCCCCCACCACACCTCAGAGAAGGCGAAAACCCAGAAATTCTGGGGTGGCTCTGCCCCGGAGGGTTCCCTTGGAGGGGGTTGTGTGTGGTTTCTCTCTCTCTCTCTCTCTCTTCATTTTGTTAATCCTCCAGTAGTCTGTTTTTTACCAAGTAATATAAAACAGGGCATGTTCACGCGGGGCTATTGGCAGCCAAAGTGCAGCACGTGCTCGGCTCCCTTCCCCCACCCGGAGAAGGTGGGGGGCGGGGGGGGAGGTGGCTCATGGTTATAATGAGATCGGTGTTGCCTGTTTGAACAAATGCAGCTGGACAGACTGGGAGCCCACACTGGGCTGGTACTTTTCTGCTGGACCTGGAGACTAATGGCCATACTTTGCTCTGTTTTATGGTTTGGCTGGCTGGCTGGCTGGCTGGCTGGCAGGCAGGCAAGTGGGTTGGTACGTAGACATCGATCATACTTACTCATGTGCAAATTTAGGATCACCCCCATTCTTCCCTCCTTCTCTCTTCCCAACCCACCAATCAGCCTGCAATCCAGAAAACTGAAGCCGTTGGAAAGTTTGTTCAAACATACTGACTGGACAGAATCCCTGCTCTGCACCACTTCCTCCCGACTTCCCTATGAGCGTTTTGTGTTAGGAGAATTAAGAGTAATTCTTCCTAGCCAAGAAATTGTTTCTAATTTGCTCGTTGACCAAATAGCACATGGAACAATGCACTGGGCCCAAACAATTGCATTAAGCAAGGCACCCAACATACAATTACCCAAATGCAAAGATTTGCGTCTCCCAGTCCTTATTAGGCAATTATTTAGCGTGCTGTGTTAATCCATAATTTTATTTAACATACAGGGGTCCCCCACCCTTCCTCATTTTCTCTCTCTCTCTTTTCCAGATGGAAAGATATTAAATTGCAATATTTTAACACATTTCCCCAGAGTGTGAAGGTTAGCTGAGGTCTGAGAATTTTAAATGATTGCATATTCATTTGGACATGAAAAGGAGATGTTTTCATGTTGACTACTTTGAGCAAAAGGGGTGGGGGGAACAAGATCTTCCCTTTCCGTCAATGCCAGATCACTTAGATGCTGAATTTAAGGTGAAGATTGGTCTGGCAGTCTCAGCCTTTCACAAAAGTGGAAAGATACAGACTGACCTCAAGATAAACATCTACAAACGTGTGAATAGATACTGTGAACTTAGTACTGTATCAGTTATGTGGAAATAATAACCATACCTATAGGACGTTTTGAAGAGTACATAAGCAAAAAGAAGTCAGATATCTGCCCCGAGGAACTTCCAGTGTAAATTTCTAGTGAGGAAATGACTGAGTGGGGAAGCAGAAAAGAGAGCAGGATGCACCTATTTGCAGTGGGATCTGTTCCATGTCTAAGAAGTACATCTCACTGAGTTTGGTGCTAATTACTCCTGCGTAAGTATGTATAGGATCACAACCTAAGAATTACTCCTTTTCGTTGGGTAAGAAGTCCAAGCGCTGAAAGGTTTCACAGAGGTGGTGATGCATTCGAGGTAGAAAACAGGCTTGTGTTTGTTAAGGATCAGATCCCAAACATATGAATGGCATGGGAAGTCAGGCTCTCCGATGGAAAAGGAACAACACTAACGCTGCTCCGCCTGCGCCATCCTGCACTCGGCCTCCTCATCCTAAGCACACGATGGGGGAGGGGAGGAATTCCCCCGATTCCAGCGCCTCCTACTCTGGATCAGCCTTAATTTCTGCAGCCGCTTCAGGTGCACTGGATAGCAGGCCAAGCTGCGTCTTAGGCTTAAGAGCACAACATTCTGCCCAGAGACACAAAGCTGCTTTGCTTATTTTGCTTTCAATATGGTTCCTTCAGAAGGAATTCCTTCAGATTCCTTCCTCCCCCACGCGTTTCTTCTTTCTTTTTTTAAACTCACCAGGATTTTGCTGACCAAATATCACTTCTCGCAACTGCCTTCCAAAGGTGGGGCAGGGAACGCTTGGCTTTTAGACCTGGCTGTGCGAGATGAACCAAATCTCTGCAACGTGTCCTGAGATAAATGAGCTCCGTTCTCTGCGAGAGACTGGCGATGTTTACGGAGTCCCAGACCTCGCTTCCTTGCAGCTCCAGCCCACACGGGGCCTCCTTTCGAGTCAGTGCCGGTCGACACGGAGTCCCATTGCCTCAGGAGGAAGAAGGCGCCAGAGTGATCCATAGAGCGCTGACTCAGTCCTTCGGTGTCTGCCTGGACCCTTTCCATCTGCCGCCACCTCCCTCGTTTCTTAATCTTGAGCCTTGATGCTTTTAAACACCCAGACCCCACACCAGCCCCCCTCAATAAACCGAGGGCCCCCGAGATGAGGAAAGGGGTTCGCTGGTCTAATTTGCAAAAACAGATAGTGAAGGGGGGTGATCTTTCTGAACCCGACCCTACATATTTATTTCTACATGCATTATTCCCTTTCTCTTATAGAAAAAGCCTGAGAGATACTGATGTGCTTCTCCTGTTAAATTAAAAACATTTGTTAGCCCTGGACAGTTTTAAAAAAATATGGGGGAGGTACAGAGAAGCTGTAACTTCTGCTGACAACGTACTGGAGCACATCTAAAAGCTAGATGGAGTTTCCTTCCTCTCTCTCACCACCCTACTCCCGTCTCCCGGTAGCACCATTCTGTTAATGTAGAATACAAAACGATCTCTTAAAAAAATACTCCCCCCCCCATATTGTGTAAGTGAGCAGGCAGAATACGAGTGCACTGGTAATTTGCCAACAGACCTCTGGTTTATACACCAGTCCTGTCTAAAGTTATTTGCTGTAACAACTGTTTTGAAACAATAAAAGAACAACCCCTCCCCCCAAAAATCCAACCTCTATTTACGAAGTGAAGAGAGGGGAGGGGACATTTGGGGGGGAGTCAGAGGAGGGAAAGTGGGCTTTGCAGATGTACATGTCAAAAGAGGAACCTTTAACATCCTCTTCAAATTATTATTTAAAATCAACTGTGAATGAGGATAGGGGGAGACTGCTCCCCCCCCCCATATGTGTATTCATTGAGGGCACTTCCTAGCCACTTCCAAATCCTAGAATGCTCAGGATAACCAGAAATAAATTCAGAAGCTTTGCAATGGGCTTTATTTATTTTAATCAATGCAAGACGAGTTTCACAATTTCATTTCTATCAGTTTTGCTTCTTCTTTTCTACAGATGACTTATATGTTCTCAACTGCACTTATTTTCCCTTGATTTGTTAATCTGAGATTATTTTTCAAAAATTGCTATACAAGTTTTTTTAAGCCTTCCATTCTATTGGCTGATGAAGTATATTCACCTGAAAACAAAAACAAAAAAGCGCCCTTCCTCGCAGTCTGAGGTTTTGCAACCCTTGGCCTGTGCCAGTGACAAAATGCAGCGCTCGGGTCCTCCGGAGATGGAAAGGAAAGTGTCAGTCAAGTGACGCTTCGATGGCCAGGGACAATCCCCTCCGCTGGACTGGCCTTCTTCAAGAGCAATCAGTCACTTTGCATTAATTACCCTTCCATCCATTCCCCACTGCAGGGCAACTGCTGCTTTCTCGAGACCTGGCACATTCATGACAAAACACCACCTGAAAGAATGGACAGCAGCCCTCCCCTAAACAGCGCCACCCCCAAGCCCCAACTCACAACAAAGAGTTCAGAAAGAAAGAGAGACCTCGGGAGCACTTCAGATCCTGCACTTCGAAGTTTTGCAGCATTCCCCTTCTAAATAATACTACTACTTTTTAAAAAATTAAAGAAAAGTCATGGAAACAGCCCCACTCGAGTTTCATTTCCACCAACATCCAACTTTGCTAAGGAATCCTGCCAAAAACTCCTTCACAAAGGGTGCAACTCTGTGCACAATTGCCAGGAAATAGCCTCTCTAATTAAGTGGGACATACTTTTGAGGAAGTGTGCAGGATCTGGCTACATACTCACTCTCTACCCGTGCAGTGATGCAACAGACTTTGAGAGTAATCCTGAATGTAATGGGATTTACTTCTGAGTAAGCATGCATAGAGAGACACTGAAAGTTTACAGTGCTGCACCCTGCAGCCTATCGACACATGCTTATAAGTAACTTGTATGGATTTCAGTAGGACTTTCTTGTTTTTTAGGATCGCTCCCTAAAATTACAATCCTTTTATCTGTGAAGACAGAACAAATCTACCATTCCTAGCATGCCTCAGCTATGGTGGCTGGGGCATGATGAGCATTGTAGTCCTTTTTATATCTATATTTCTATAGGATTGCACCTTAAATATGCTAAATTCGAAATTCCACTGAGACAACTGGAAATTCCTTCCTTGTAGTAAAAAACCCCACTTCCTGGTGTTTAAGGCTGCGTGGCTGCCATTCTTGATTCGCTTAAGTCTTCGTCTTGTAGTCGTCGGCGTCGTCGTCCCAGCCGAACCTGTGAACCTTAAGTGTGTTTAGGATCTTGGGGTAAAGTCTTGTTCTGATGTTGCTGTCTTGAACAAACATCTTAGTGGGACGATGATAACGTCTGAACCAGGTCCTGGCCCCTTCTATATCCGCTGATACCTGAAGAGGCTGCGCCAGAAGACCGAGAGCAAACCTTGAAATCGCATTTCCCGTCTCTCCTGCTTTACTGGACGGAGAGTTAGAAGCTTTTCTTTGGACTTTAAGACAAAGGGTCAGACCTTCGAAAACAGCAAGGATCCCTTGCACAATGCCCCCAGACTAGGAGTAGGGGCAACGGGGTGAAGTGTTTCTGTCCTCAAGTGCTTCTGAACTCCTGATCCACGCAAACGGAGGTGGTGGGGTGGACCCGGCGTTTCTTGCGCTAGGGAGCCACGCTGAAGCTGCGCTAGCAATCTTCCGCTGAGATGCAGGGCGGGCAGTGGGAAAACCTCAATGAGGGCGAATGCGAGGCAGGACGGAGGGGCTCCTTTCTTCCCTCCCTCCCTCTATTCCAGAAGAGAGAGTCTAGGCACTCTCGGACAGGCCCGGACTCCCAGCAGCGACTGCAGCATTGGAAAGTTTTCCCCACATGCCTATCCGAGTGAGTAAGCTCTGAATCATCCTTCCATGAGAGGATTCGTCCGTATCCACGCACCCCGCTCTACCCTTACGTTCATTTGGCACAGTGCGCGCGCCCCGCAACCCGAATGCACGTCCGCTTTCATTTCGGCGCCCCGAGACACGGGACGGAGGGGGAGGCCAGCGCCGCGGCTCCTCGCGGCCCGCAGCGCGCTCCCTCCGCGCCGCCGCGTCCTGGCCGCGGGCCTGGGCCGAGGAGGCGCGCCGGCCGGCGGGCCGCAGGCGTCGAGGGCAAGGCGGGCGCGCCGCGATCGCGCCCGCCGGGCGAGCGCCCGCATGTGCCACGCGCGGGGTCCCCTGCGCCCTGCGAGCGCGGAGAAGCCGTCGCTAGGGCTGCTGCTGCTTCGCTCCGCGTTAAGCCTCCGTGACCCCGGATGGTGTCCAAGGGAAGGGACTGGCTGAAAGGGTGTTTGCTTTCAGTTCTTCCTTCGCTCCCCTGTCACTTTTGACAAGGGCGGCCCGAGAGCCTCGAGTTGCCTTTGAGGAAGCGCTCGCCCCACACCCTTGCCACAATAGCTCCCCTTTCAGAATCCCATTCCTAAAAAATACGCAACAAAACACCCCGTGTGTGCGGCTTTGTCTTTTCTGCTTGACATGCATTTTGTAGTCGTGGTAGATCTACCTTTCCCAGCAACCCTGATCGATATATTTCTCCCGTGGAGTAAGCAGGACCTCGTGGGTTGCAACCTTCCTCCTTGGGATTCGCTTACTGTCTTTGTGTTTGCCTGTTTGCGTGACAGCATTGTGTCTACCTGCAACCCTTTTACTGCTTGACACTTTAAATAACACAGGTTACTAACCGAAATTTAAACACATACACACGCGCGCGTACATCTTAGAGCAGACACGGTGTTCTACCACTGCCCCGTGGACTTCCAAGTTTATTTCCAATTGTGTAACTCCTTAGATTTTATACATGAGGGCAAGTTCAGTATAGCGCATTATCACCAATGTGAGAAATGCAAATTCACGTACACACCGCGTGTATACACACGCTGCTTCTCGGTTCTCCTAATTCAATTTACCCCTTCGGTTAATGAATAGCTCCATTGTAATCTAATATCTCTTACGGCTTATTTTGATTTATTCTGCATTTTCAAATCAATTACGCTCCTTTTAATTTTTTTTTAAATCAACGTAATCGCCAGTACAAGGGTAGGGGAAGAAAAACTCTTGAGTCTCCCAACCAGCGCCACTGCATCTCTGTCTGTCTCTCTCTCTCTCTCTCTCTCTCTCACACACACACACACACACACACTCGCGCACGCACACACACGCGCCGTCCAACCTCAGTCGATCACTAGCGCTGTTATGTCTCACGGTTAGCCTCGATGTATATTTCCTATTTGCAAAAGCAGGACTTTCCCCCCGGAAATATCCCGAGGCGCGCAGTTTTGTACACTGAAGAGGGACATACGTGATGGCCCTTTCCTGGTATTGGCAAGATCCTGAAACAGGCTCCAAACGCAGCAGGGCAAGATCCAGACCTTGCCTGCAAATCCGTTGGTTTGCAACTGACACCCGGACATCACGCCCAGCCCAGCCCAGCCCAGCCCAGCCATACAGGGAGCTCCATCCGCATCGCCTTTTCCCACTCGGTCTCTCGGCTCGCGGTACTGGAGCAGAGCCTCCCCCGCTGCCTTAAATGCTGCAAATGTCCCTGCCGCTGCGCTGCAGCAGGGTCCCTACTCCCCAACTCTACAAAGGGAGGAGAGGCTGGTCTTCAGCCCCCGCCTCGATCCCCCGGTGCCCGATGCACCAAACCTGCCTTGAATGAATGGCTTTGCTTTCAGATTCGCTAATAGTGACTCAGTCCGTTTCCCCTTTTCTTTGCTCCTTTTGATCCTCTCCACTCTTTGACCTTCTTTTGGCTCAAGGGACAGTAGGCTTTGCCTCGGGGGTGGGGGGTGCACTGGGGGTGTGTGCTGGAAACAGTCCCCAGCTTATCTCCTTTCATCAAACCAGCCCCGGGCCCCCTGCAAACCGCGGGGCCAGTAATTGCTTTTTTCAGGCAGCCCAGTGCGGACTGGCGAGCAGCCAATCAGCGCCTTGTTTACACTGGGTGATAGACAGCGGGCTGGGGGACTGCCAACCAATCAAGGCGGCTCCTGGAAGTGGGGAAGGGAGGGCTGGAAGAAGGGAGGTGGGGGAGAGCGCTGGAACTGAAGGCAATGGGGTTAACCTTTCCGTTGCCGGTACAAAACCGTCTGAAGAGGGCGTGTGGTGAGGTTTGTATGTGCGCATGCAGTATTCACCGGCTCAAAATAGTTTTACAGGAGAACTCTGAATACAAGTAGGAGGAAAGGTAATGATGCAGTCTATTAGGAAACAGAACAACAACCAGCTGAAAGAAGCATATATTGGTGGAAAGGGAATATCCAGAGGAATCGTGATCAAAATCTGCGGGGGGTGCGTTGGAAGAGCTCTCGTTTGAAGTTGAGCGGAGACTGGATAGAGTGGGGATAATAGAAGCGTTAGAGAGAATGGGGGGAAAGAATGACCATAAATACATAGATCTCGATATATGGTGATCCACCTGGGAGCTGACAAGTGCAGAACGCCTCGTGAGCAGGAGCCAAGATAAGGGACTTTCCTGAGCGCAAAGCAGAGGTGTAGGCAAGGCTCAACCCCGATAAATTATGTCCCGGAGTTCTTTGAAAGACTCGTCCTCGAGCACTGAGGGATCCGTGCAGGGGGCGGGGGCGGCGCTTCGGCCCTGTGCGACAGTCCAGCTCGCGCAAGTTTTTAGCGCGTGAAGGCGAGGCTCGCTGGAGAGAAAGGGCGAGAGACCAGGCAGGCGCCGTGCTAAAGCAACGCGCTCTCCGTGTCCCGAGCTCCGCAAGGTCTCCGCGGTGCTGCGGCGGCGGCGGCGCACCGTGCGGGCCGGCAAAGCGAAAGAGGCAACGCAGCGACCCGCTCACCACCCAGCTGGCGGGCGTGCGTGTGGGCTGGAGCGGCGCTCTGACAGGCTCTCTGCCTCCCCGCTCCGCAGAGCCCTTTCTTCGCCCGCCCGCCCTCCTCGCCGCGCTGCCGCGTATCCCCATTCAGCTGAGCAAAGGGAAGCTGCGCGAGGGGAGCTGCGCAACTGCGGGGACTTGAATTAGGCGCCATCGGGTTGAGTAGTAGCCCTGCTGCTCTCTGATTGGCAGCTCCCTGGCCCGGCGCCAGCCTATTGGGAAGCCTGTTTACGCAGGGAGAGTGGCACGAGCTTATTACCGTAGAGGACCGGGCGTCCAATCAGCGAGCGCGCTCGCCCTGAGTGAGTGGCACGAGCTTATTAGTATGCAGGGAGAGTTGCTTGCAGGACTGAGCTGCGAGGTTGGGGAAGCTGGAGCCCGCGACAGGGTCTTTTTTCCTTTCTGCAAGGAGCAGCAGCCAGTGCATTTACAGTGCAACAGTCAGCACAGTGCAAATACCAATAGGAATACAACAAAGTCCCACTCACTGATTTAATTGTATTGCGTTCCCTCTGTGCTAAGGAATACCCCTCCCTCCAGTAAGTAACAAAATTTATTTAGTATTTTTAACGTGCATTATTTGTTTTGAATTATTATTATTATTACTACTCTTAAAATCAAAGACACCTTCACGGTGTAACGAGATATACCTATATCTATATCTCAAAAACTATTGCTAGCAGAAATTGTTTTGATTTTGTTTTTCGTTTTAAAGGCAATTCAAACACCTAGTGATTGAAATATGTAACCATTGTATCCATTTCTCAACTTTTTTTAAAAAAATAAAAAATAAAAAAATCTTGGGGAAAGGAGATGCATTTTGTTCTAACTAGAAAAAAACCTGCGAGATATGTGCATGTTTTTTGTTTTGCCTTTGATGGTTACTATTCCATGCAAATGTCGTACCCAGCTCTGGATCGTACTGACAAAACGCCCGATTGTTCGCATATTTCTTACTGAAATTCTAGTTGTTGGGGGGTTTGTGTTGTTGCTTTAACAGAACTGTGAATAGTTGTTTGGAAGGAAAACAAAAACTGGCACTGTAAGGTTTGTTTTGTTTTGTTTTTTTAAGAAGGAATGCATGGAACCGTTTAAGTATTAAATCACAATAGGTGGTTGCAAGCAGGTTTGGAGCTTTATACCAAGCACTAAAGATGGGTCAAAAATGCCCATTAGGGATTCTGAATTACAAAGAGAATTAAAAGACTGGGGAAAGGATGCATTTTTATTTATTTCTGCACTTCTTCATTGAATGCAGATATATACTGCTTTTACACAAGGGGAAGCCTTAAGTTTTGCTCTCGCAAAAAAAGATGCCGCATTTTCTTCTTATTGTAAGGAAAGGTTTCGTTACGGTAAAATCCGTCTTGGCTTGTGTGGGTTCAGTCAGAAGGCTGGACGATGGAACGGGAAGCGTTCTTGAGACAGGGCGCTTGGGAGACACGCTTTGTTTCTCTCGGCCTTCCGCTTTCTCTCCACGTCTCCGCCTTCGTTCATCTCGGATCTTTTAAATAATAACTGTATTTTCAAACGTATCGGAGCCTTTTGGTGGCGACGCTGCTGCAATTTCAGCCTGGCCACCGTTTTTTGCTGTACTTGTTCCAAAAAAAATGAAAAACCAAGCCGGGAAAACACAAGAAGACATAAAAGAAAATATAAAATAGTCGAAGGGCGAGGGAAATGGAAGAGAAGGGAAGCAAGAAAAAGGCCAGCAAGCGTTTAGGGGAGAGCTCTTCGTGGCCTTATACGCCGATGGAGGCTGAGGGGCCTTTCTCGCCTCGGCGGCGGAAGATCCCCCGCTCGCGGCCGCTCGAGAGGCCCCTTCGCCAGCTTGGCGGAAGACCGAGCGCCGCCGCGGCTTCCTGTCCGCTGCGCCCAGCGAGGCCCGAACGCAGCGCGCCGCAGCCTCCGAAGCGCCGCCGGATCCTCCCGTCTTTCCGCCCCGAACCGCCCGAGAGAAGGCTAGATTTCCAACACACGCCGAACTCCGGGGACGAAGGGGGATTGACGAGAGAGCATAAAACCGGATTATTCCATTTCCCCCCCCGTTCTCTCTCCCTGCCCCCAATTAAAAAGGAGGAGGGGGCGTAACTCCCTGGAACCGGACCGTGCAAATGCGCAACATCCTTTTGTCCCTTTACGACGTCTGAATTCTCCGACTGATCCTACGCCTCCTGGCTCGTATCGGCGGCTCGCCTGGCTGAGGACCCGCCGTCACTCCGCCTGCCCGAGAAGAGCGAGGGGGCGCCCAGTCCGCCGCAGTGCTGACGAAGCGGCCCGGAGGCCCCGGCGCCGCAGCGCGGCCGCTGTTTACCCGGCGGGAGGAAGCCCGGCTCCAGCCCTTCCCTCCGGCTCCCGCGCCGGCCCACAGGGGCACGATCTCGCGGCGAGCCCCTCTTGCGCTGCGCGGTGGCGAGAGCTGCTCCCTGGACACGGGTATCGGCACCTTCCATGGGCCTCGCTCAAGCAGGCTTTCCAGTCGGCTGGTGCATTTCATTCCAGTCGGCGGGCACATCGTATTAAATAATAATAGTAATAATAATAGATAAAATCGGGGGTTTTCTCCAAGGAAGAAACGTGGAGGGGGTGGGGAGAGCGAAACCCTACACACGTACGCTTCCGTCCACGATGATGCATGGAACCCCAAACTTGCTGAAGCTGCTAATTTAGCTTTTGTCTTCCAGCCTTCAACTCACCCCCACCCTGCGCCCATTTTTCGCCTCCTTACTCTTTGAGATTGTTTTTGGATACGGTTGAGGGGGGAGCCCCTATTGTGAAAGACAGATACCCTTTCTAACCATTCCCCGTAAGTGCGAAGTAAAAAGTATTAGTTGTGCTCAGAGAGGGAATATAATCTCCAGAGAGGAGAATAAAGACAGAGACTCTGCTCTTTGGTATTTAGTTATTCCATTTACTCCCAATGCAAAATCAGCCCATATATTTATGCCCCCCACGCCCTCTCTCTTTCTCTCTCTCTCTCTCTATATATATATCTTATCAGCTGTGTAAATATGTAGTCACTTAATACATTATGTTTTCAGTTATAGATTAAATCAAACACCAAATAGTCCTGCACTGTTAAGAGCTGCAACCATTGAATCTGGCTGCTTAGAATGGTATTTGGTAAATTAAGAACATGTTAATTGCTGTTATGATCAAGGCATATTGAGGGGGGGTGTATGAAAAATGCTCTCTCCTGTTAAGTTAACCATGGAGTACAGTCAATACAGGGTTGCCTCTTCTTTTGGTTTGGAGATGATATGAATCCTTCAGACAATATCTGAGTTACTGGTAAGATTAGACAGGTAGAATTAACTCTAAACGTATAAGGAAGAAGGGGTATCAAGAATGTGGGTGTCCACCCCAGCCCATAGCTGAAGCATTAGGTGTCCCCCATTAATATTTCCATTGCTTTGTTTGTTGGGGAGATGCACGTTTTTCTTGTGAGAAGCTAGTGAAAGTCTTCTAGTGCGATGCTTGCTACATCTGAAGGAAGGGGGGGACCTTTTTATCCCCGCTTCTCTTCCTCTTGGCTTAATGTTACACACATTGGGCCTAAGCCAAAAACCCTTTACGTGTAAATGGAATGAATGCACAGGAAGGACCTTACATAACTGTTTTGTCTAGGAATACAGTTGTAGGATTTAAACCCCTGTCCTTGGAGGAGGAATGCTGGACTTTGCCACTAAGGTGTCTGCAGTGAAATATTTATTTCTGAGCTTGAGTAATTGAAACACAGCGAGCCCGTTACTTACCTCGGCTGGGATCTGCTCAAGGCTGCTTTTGGATCACATCGAGGCAAATCGTTCATAATCAAAGTCCGTGCTCCGGGAGCAAAGCCGGATTCGAGACCAGCCACACTTCTCTTAAAATCCCCTTACCCACCCAGGACAAGTTCGAAGGCAAGGGATCGAATCTTAATAAATCAGAGGGCTTGGAAATTCTGTCTCCCCCCCCCCACTCCCGCTCCGTATCATGAAAATAAAGAGGCATCCGTACTGAGGTTTCGTTTGCCCATATTTTAAGAGCAGGAGAGATTGACCAGCTCGGGAGAAAATCGCCTGGTGACTCCTCAAATCGAAGGGTCCAGCAGCACAACTACTACAGGCAAATAAAAAGTTAGCAATTCGAAAACAAGGCATAATTTTCGCTCCCTTCCGAGCCCCCCC